TTTTGTAACCCCTCCCCGTCTACCACAACAGGCTTACTAGCTGTATCGGAAGTCAGATCGGTGTTGGCTGATATGCCTCCTTAAAAATCAGTATTGGCCCCCAAAATCTCTATCAGCACATCCCTAATTTAGAGGGGGGGGTGTGTAGAAAGAAGGGGAGGGAGAGGGGGAGACAGAGGGACAGATGGCCAGCAACAGAAGCCAACAGCCCTGGGTGCATCTACTACTCCTAGAGCTGTGGGAGCTGGGCCAGGGGAAGGTGCCGAAGCCCTGCCTTGCTACATGACAACGTGTGTGTGCATGTATGTGCTATTTCTTGCGAGTTGGGGAGGGGGTTCTACATCTATTGTGCAGTTCACCTGTTCATTGTGTGACAATTACTTTTGCACAAGTGGCTGGGCTACATTTTTTTTTTTGCATGATTGGTCCATTCATTGCATGACAGTTACTTTTGCACTTATGGCCTGTCTACATTTATTCCTTGCATTTGTGGCTGGGCTGCATTAGTTTTTCAATTCACCGGTTCATTGCGTGACAGTTGCTTTGCATGTATGACCAGGCTACAAGTATTGTGTGACTGACTAGTTCAGGGGCTCTCAAACTGTGGGTCCTGATCCCCTGGGGGGTTGTGAGCAACTTTTAAAGGAGGTTGCAAACTTCGCTCCCTTCCCTAGAAGTGGTGGTGCAGGGCACGGGGCCACTAACACCATCCATGGTGTGGTACTGCCACGTGCTGTGCACTGCTTCCCCACACCCGAGTCCAGCTGACCGGCTGCCCGGGGATGCCCCCACCCTCGCTAGTTGATGGCCAGACTTGGGTGCAGGGAAGCAGCACGTGGCAGTGCCAGATAGTGGCTCTGGCCCTGCCATCCACACCACTGCTTCTAGAGAGGGAAGCATCAAAATGTTTGGGAACCCCTGGACTAGTTCACTGCGTGATCATTTGACATGTGTGGCCAGCTACATCTATTGTGCCGTGAAGGACCTTGAGAGCCTTAGCTTAACTACAGCCT